AGTCGATTATTCTTACGACTACGACTTTACGACTTCTATGTAGACGAGGCTTAAGCCTCCGCTACAATGATTCTCGGTTCTGTCTACAATGGTCGTACAATTGTATCGATGGTCGCTTGAGCAGTCGCAAAGTAAGAATTGACCAATCGCAGTCGATTATTCTTACGACTACGACTCTGCGACTCGCATTGTAGACAGAACCGAGAATCATTGTAGCGGAGGCTTTAATTACCTTGCAGCTTTAAGCCTCCGCTACAATGATTCTCGGTTCTGTCTACAATGGTCGTAGTCGTAAGAATTATAATCGACTGCGATTGGTCAATTTCGTCAGGCACATAAGAATTGACCAATCGCAGTCGATTATTCTTACGACTACGACTTTACGACTTCTATGTAGACGAGGCTTAATTACCTTGCAGCTTTAAAGGCCTGTGTCCACGATGCTAGAATTTGGTCCAAATTCTAGTTTCGAGAAATCTGTAGCCAATCAACGTGCAGCTATTCCATAAAAGCTGCAAGTTGATTGGCTACACGTTTCTCGAAACTAGAACTTGGACCAAGTTCTAACATCGTGGACATTGGCCTTTAGGCCTTTGGAGGGAAAGATTCATGATCGACGATCGAGCCCCAGAACTTGATTCAAGTTTCGAGAAATGTGTAGCCAATCAACTCGCAGCTATTTAATAAAAGCTGCAGGTTGATTGGCTACAGAGTTTTCGGAACTAGAACTTGGACCAAGTTCTGGCATCGTGGACACAGGCCTTTACACGCAACAATTGAATCCAAATCGAACCGTTTTCCACGACAGATTTTCTCGAACGAACAATAATAGGTTACACGTGTGCGAGCAGCAGCTCTTTACGGTTCTCGGTCTCATTGCCGTGGCGTCTTCCAGCGGATTTGATCAGGGGAATGATCGTTCCCTCCTTACGCTCTTCTAAACAATGATGACCACCACGTTCCAGAGCACCGAGGTAATCGCATCTCTACGAGACGGAATAATTTGCCTCGTGTCGATCGAAGTCCTCGATCAAGCCGATCTCCCTCCCTAACGGTTTTTCTGACGAAACAACCAAAGTGTCTCCGTCGACATTGTGCTTATTCATTCTCGTTATCGCCGCGCCGAGCAGCGAGGTAGATCTCGAGGAAACTGTAGAAAATAATCGCGGGAGATTTTCGTGGTTAGAAGATACGCGGGGAACCGTGATCAGATATCGCTTTACTTTCGCTAGGGTCTAATCGTGCGGGAAAACGAGAGGTTCACGCTTGTAAAAAAAAACTGCGTACGCGTCTGAGTTGTAAGCACCCTCCGTCTAAAAGAAAACTAGCTTGCAGCGTTATTTCATCGAGTGTAATCGAGGTAAATTTTTGTCCAAGATGAATAAAAGTCTGACGCTGAAGAAGGACACGCCGAATGACGTTCCCGGCGAAACGTCCGATTGCGACGATTCCAACCATTCGACGGAAGTCTCGGAGGACAGACCTGAGGAATTTAAGATGGAAAGAAATGTAACGCCAGGGAGGAAAACGCCGGATGACGTTTCCTGCGAAACGTTCGATTCCGACGACTCCAACCATTCGACGGAAGTCTCGGAGGACAAACCTGAGGAAGAAGACTGGATGGATATACTTGGCCAAGGTCACCTGAAGAAGAGGGTCATAAGGAAGGGCGAGAAAGGCATGCGGCCAGAGAAAGGCGATATATGTACAATAAACTTTGTTGGTAAACTTTGCGATGGCACAGAGGTAGAAAAAGAGGACCATTTGTCGATACAAGTGGGAGACCTCGAAGTGATACAGGTGATGCAACTGTTATTAGAATTGTTACTTACATTGCGACCATGTCGGTAACTTGCTTGTACAATATTCAAACTGCAGGGATTGGACCTGGCAATCGTGTTGATGGAACTGGGCGAGATCGCTGAAATTGTAATCAATGAGAGGTTTGCTTATGGTATGTCTGGAACGTCAACTATACCATCCCTCGCTACTGTTACATACGTGGTTGAATTGAAGGCAATAGAAGTGGAGCCCGATATAGAAAGTCTAAGCATCAGTCAGAGGAGAGAAAGGGGGTAAGTTTTATGAGTACGCACCTGATTAATTGTTCTAAAGTCAAGTGTTGTTCGAGGATAAGGCTTTGGGTGATTTTCTTCGTGTAATAGTGTGACTTGTTTCTTTCTAGCAACAAGAAACGCGAACGTGGAAACTGGTGGTTTGGTCGTCATTCCGTTAGTTATGCAGTACAATGTTATCGTAGAGCTTTACAATATCTGCAGATAGACAATGGTAAAACATGGAACGAGAATGAAGGAGCAGAACCGGTTACCGATGCTGAGCTGCAAGCTCTCTTGAACGATTGCATAAAGGTGTATAATAATTTGGCTGCTGCATTAATTGAAATGGAAGTCTACGCCGCAGCTTTAGAAAATGCAGACTTGGTTCTGAAATATCAACCAAACAATATAAAAGCTCTATTTAGAAAAGGTAGTAAAATAATTTTGCGTAAAGTTTTGTTTTTTTAATTAACTTTTTAATACTTTTTATTTACATGCGATGCACCAGTGTACATGTATATCTCTCTATATGTACATATTGTTTACAGGAAAAATATTAAAGCTTAAAGGGGAATACGGCAAGGCTTATATGGTTTTACTTGAAGCGCAAAAGGTTGAGCCAGAATCGAAGTGGATACACATGGAACTGATGAGTTTAAAGGGCAAAATTACAAAACAGTATGAGAAAGAGAGGCTTTTTTATGCTAAAATGCTCGGTATAGGAAATAACGGAGTGTCGAAGGATGTAAAGGATGTAAAGGAATGTAAGGTACGAAATAAAAGTAATATTGCTAAAGGAATTTTGTGGACTCTGGTTGGAGCATCTGCTGCTATCGTTGGTATATTTGTACACAGATTTGCATCGTAAAAAAAAGGAAAAAAGGAATATAGACAAACCAATTTAAAGGGGTGCAAAATATGTTGTATTATTTGTGTTAATAACAGAATGTATGATTATGCCTGTAGATTTTTATAATTACACATTAAATTATATATTTCTAACAACATAAACGTATTTGATGAACTAATAAATGATGAACATAAATGCAAAATTGTTGTAATTATATGTATATATGTACACCTATACATGCGCGCACACATACACATAGAATTTAGCAAAGATTTATGTAAACTGACTGCGATAGTACAACATATATACGTATTATAATTTTATGACATTAATAATAATTATAAAGTACAGTGATATTTTAATATGCTCTATTGAAGGAAGTTATTAAATATATAAATGCATTATATCAAATTCTTTTAATCTTAATGCACATTGGATAGAAATTTACTAAATTCTCAATTTCTCCTGTAGCTTATATACACATCTAAATTATGCATGTGTAAAATATAAATATTGTATACATGTGTGTATGTATATTATATACACATATATATGTGTATATATAAAGCATATTTATGATATAAAATTTACATATGTACAAAGAACAGATTAAAAATTGAGTTTTGTGCTGATAAGCTTTTTATATATTTAGAAATTCACTTCGAATCCTTTTTTTATTTGTATTTTAAAATTAAACTGAATATTTACACTAATGTAAATTGTATAGTGTCACATTTAGCATATTTTGTTATGTAAAATAAGTTTAATAATAGTTTAGTTTATATTTTTATTTTTTACAGAATTTTGGTGATTGTATTTTAATCAGATAATATTTTATACATAGTTTATAGTTCTGCATATATTGAAGTTTACTTATTGTATAAGGTAATAAAATTTTTCTATTTAGTGAGAGAATGTAAGTATATTTATTCATCTTCAAAAATTACTATTAAATTCAAGATTACATCTTAGTATAAAAAATATATTTTATAAAATATAACATATTCGTTGTTAACAAAATAAATAGATTCATGTTTATTTTAATGGAGTACGATATAATGACATTTTTAATTTGCGCAAACGTGATGACAGTTTAACAAATATATTTCATACTATAAATTTTCAAATATTAAGAAATGCTGGAAATTCATGAGTTAAATAGCTTTCTATCGTTTCCATTTTACTGTTATTGTTTACAAGCGGAAACAAACCTTCAATATTTTCCAACGATATCTCCGAATAAATTGTATTGTCATGGTACATTTGATCAGTGTTTAAAAGACTATTTTGAAATTCTATATCTTGATAATCCGGCAAATTCAATATTTCGTTGCAATTTATGCCAAACTGATCAACGAGTTCATTAGTAGGTAACAATTCCAAATTATTGGTAATTTCTACGGTAAGTACCTGTCCCGTGTTTACATCTACTAACGAAAGAACTTGTGGAATAGAATCGTCGACAGATGAATTTGTAAGTCCTAATGACAAGTTAGGGCATTCGGGACCTTCCTCGGGATTTAACAATGGCTGTATTTGAAGTTGCGAATTGACATTTACAGCCGGTTTCTTTACATTTGCGACCGAACAATCTCTCTCTTTGTTCTTCGAAGTTGATTCCCGTCCTTTTCCGACTTTTATTTTATTAGTTTCTGGTCTGACTGGTTTATCTGGCATTGGCACAAGATGTCCATCTTTGGTTTTCATAAGCTTCATCACCTGTTTGAAATTCTACTTGTAGATATGTGCAAAGTATAGTAAGAATTTATTAAGGATTCTTTTCTACCTTCTTCTTCTTTTCCAGCGTAATTCGGTGACAGGTTTCCATGTGACGAGTAAGATGATGCGAGCGTTTGAACGCGGTACTACATTGCATACAGGCGAACGGTCGATGCTGTTCGTGCGACAATTTATGTCTCTTCAGTAAACTATTTCGCTTAAACGCCTTGCCGCACTCCTCGCATATAAACTGTCGCTCCTTACTGTGAATGTAAAGTACGTGATCCTTAAGAATGCTGACGCTGGTGAACGTCTTACCGCAATGCTCGCACACGACATTCCGCTCTTCCACATGCAGTTGCTTGTGCCTATCTAGATCCGTCCTCCTGGCACACTGAAACGTACACCCGTATATATTACAGGCGAATCGCTTTGCACCCTTGTGAATGCGTCTGACGTGCTGATCCAGGGCTCTCTGTGTGATTAATTTTTTCGAACAGATCGCACAGGGAAACACAGCCCCTACAGGTATATCTCTGTTGACTTTATTGAGATGTAACGCGGACTGCAAGTGTCGAAAATAGTCGTCTTTCTTCGCGAACGTGTGTCTGCAATCGGCACAAAAATATGGACCTATAAAATAATATTATTAGATGGCAAGTAAAAAAAAGAGAACTTTTGCTCATTAACGGAATGCTCGTCACCATTTGTCGACTCGTGCTCGCTTGATTTTGGAACGTGAACCGCCTTAAAGTGTTCGCGCGCCTTCTTCTTCGACGCGAAAGCAACATCACAGCGTGGACACTTGTAGTTGTCGTGGTTCTGAATGTGGGACAGATACGTCTGTTCGATACTGAACGTCTGCAAACATTGCTGGCACTTGAATCGTCTCTTCCTACAGTGATTCTCCTGGTGCTCCTTCTCGTCCGCGTCCGCACTCATCATATCTCCACACTCCGAACACACCTTACCGCTCTGATAGCTGTGCTTCGCCCTATGACGATTCAGAAGGGCGCGTTTGGGAAAGCTCTTCGGGCATACGTCGCACAAGTGAGGATGCCCGGCCACCCTCTCCCCGTGCGCGCGAAACAGGTGGACCTCCAGGTGCTTTCGCCTGGCAAATTTCTCATTACAGTGGGGACAGTTGTTTTTCTGATGGCCCTCCAAATGCCGATCCAGATGCCTCTTATATCGGAACGTCATTAGGCACTGCTCGCACTTTTGAATCGGCTCCTCTCCATCCGCCAACTGCAGATTATCAATTCTTACTTCCCGTCCCGAGTCAGAGGTGATACTTTGACTTAAACAACTGTCGTCTCTATTAATATTAGAATTCGTATCTGTACAATTCTCTGCATAAGTTTCGGCAGAACAATTGTAGTTTTCCATTTTCTTTCTTTCTAAACATTGAATATCCTTGCCGAATGTATAGGATTCGTTGGTATTAACGGTCGTCGCCGCATTGTCCGATTCTTTGCTCGAACAATTTGGGAAATTCGGAAAGTCTAGGCTCGCCGTGTTGAAATGTCGAATCGAGGGTGGAACACCGGCATCCGTCGACCCGTCCTTCGCCCTTTCCTCCTTTGCGGGCTCCTCGGTGCTCTGCAGGAGCAGGCTTTCAATCTTCATAAAATCAATGCCGCTTAAATTAACGTCGTCCAAGTCGTCCCCCCGTAAAACGATATCCGTAGCATTTGTGGGAGCGGCCACCGTCAGGCCAACCCCGGCGGGGTTCTTACTTTCGAGACTGCTGATGCAATCTCTCAGATAATCGTAGCTTTCCATCTCGCCGTTCGCCGCGCACACGTTCGGCACGGCATCCAGGCTCGAGTAATCCTGAAACGTGAACGAGATAGAATAGAAAAACTGCCAGACGACGTCCAACGCGATAAGTACAGCGGTGTATCTCACAAACCTGGTGAACAACAATAGTTGCACAACACCAATGTTATTAATACCAAGTACTAAAGGATATAAGAGTCAAGACAGGATGTTAGTGTCCAAATAATTTTTATTTTCAAGTTTACTGCGAAACATTTTCCTCAGCCAGGGTTTGAACCTGAACCTCCCTCTCACTAGGCAGGCCCAGGGCAGGTCTCGCCCCAGGCCGAGATAAAGAGTGAGAACAAGATCGGCCCCATTTTTACCGCATTCGATTTTGGTCACAGAAAGCAGGACGAAAGGTCTCGTCAAGATAATCGCAGGCGTCAGTCTCAAAGTGTACCTATTTAACGTTTCTGAGATATCGGGCTCCAAAAATTCCCAGGACGTAAGCGATAAAGCCGTCTGGACGGACACTAACCATTTGTTTGGAATGGGATGGAACCTTTGGAGCCCGATATCTCTGGATTAAGCAGATACACTTCGAGACTGACATATCTGTAATCAGCTTGACGAGACCTTTTGTTTGGTACCTGCTTTGGGACCAAGAATGAATGGGGAAAAAAATTGGGCCATTTGCCTATGGACGCTTGTTCTCACTTTTTTTTACAGTAAATTAAAAAATTTAAATCATTTAAAGGAGATAAAAATACTTGGATGTACGTCAACCAAACTGACAATATATTTATTTATTTACAACGTTTCGGCTCCGTTTCGAGCCCTTCTCAAGTAAACTGAAACCATATGATATAAAATAACAAATTAAAGAGGAAACCAGCACACTAGAAGAACAATTTAAGGGGGAATACCTTAGATAGAATCGTATTAATTAGTAGCGGGAACATGATGTGTCACGCAAGATGTGGCCGCATTTCACGAAACTACAAAGTGTAAAGTGTGACAATAAATTATAAATTAGAGGTAAAGGTGTAATTTAAACAGAAAATCAATTGTATGAAGAGAATAAATAAATTGAAGTCAAAGTATGAAATCATTTAGACACTAACATTCTGTCTTCGCTCTTACATAATTATTACTTGGTATTTGTGATTTCACGTCAGAGTCCTATGAATTTTACTTGATCGATATTATTTACCATTTAACAATATAAGTGTAATATCGTTATTATAATACTGTTGTACATGACAGTGACATTGTTGACTAATTATACAATATTGATGCTATGTAACTGTCGGTTGATCTTCGCTGGAAAGTAACTTCAACAGGCGTCCTACCTGGCTGTCAAACAAACGTAGCGTCATCATTCCGGACTGCGAAGATTTTCTAATCGATGATACTTGCGCGAGAGTGCGAGTTGTTACATAATAGGAGACATAATAGGAGCCAGCCTGTTAGAATTAAGGATTAAGTTGAACATCCGTGAAATTACGCAAATTCCTCGAAACATTCGTGGGACAATCGTGTGACGCATAACCTAAAAAGCGCTGCGCGTAGAGTCCGACAATGAAAATGTCCGTGCACTATAAAGCCTCCGCTACAATGATTCTCGGTTCTGTCTACAATGGTCGTAGTCGTAAGAATAATCGACTGCGATTGGTTAATTCCGTCAGAT